CGGATTTGGGCTCCTCTAGTGCAGCGCAGCACAGCCCCAACTTCAAAAAAATAAAATAAAATTCCTTGCCCTGTTTTTGCGTCGCCCGGTTCACCCGGGCGGACCCCCCCGGAGGCAACCGGCCGGGGTCCGCCCGGCCGGGCACCGGCCCAGCCTAAAGGAAAATGAAAGAATAATCCACAGATGGAGTAGACAAACAACTGCATAACGAGCCAAGATCAAGCAAGGTGCTGCAAATTAGACTGGAAAAAAAAGGACACAAGGGACAGCATGAGCATAAAGAAAACATGAGCAGGTGCCGCCGGCAAGGGCCTGGTGACTGTTATGAACTTGGTTGTTTGACAATTGATTGCCACTCGCACACAGAAGAACTCACACACGCCCATACATGCATGGGACACAGGGGAGGAAGAGACAGAGTCCACCTGCACACAGACCAGAGGTATACAGCGGAATAACAACCATGCACAGATGGGGAGAATACACACAGTGTTCTAATCACAGGATGACCCTGCGAAGATCACAATTGGAAAGTAACCCAGATGATGAGCCAACTCAACTCAATTAACCCCAATTATCGTTACAGAGTTCAACCCAGTATCTCGCCACTCAAGTCCCACACACTCCACTCACTCCTACACTCTCAGAGTCTAGCGCTGCACTTAAACCGCCTCCCAGAGGCCAGCGCCACACACCCAGATGCAGATCATGAATAGCGAAGTAGTCCCCAGTGCCGATGAGTCACTCTGACGATGAAGAAGGCAGCTATGGCTGCCGAGCTGCTACCGCAGCAGTAGTACCCACATGTACTCTGTGAAGAGCCTCCAGTCAGTCCTGCCAGTCGCAGATACCCCCTGCGGGTAGATGCGCTGAGTACAGCCCCAGCTATGGCTGTCTCAGGTAGGCGGCTATGGCTGCTTCACCCTGCTGAAACCTCCAGGTGCCGCTGTAGGTCTTCAGCGCTGCAAACTTGGTTGGCCACCAACGCTGCACGTGAAAAATGGAAAGCCAAAAGTCCCTACTCGATTCCCCTACAGGACTCATAGACTTCCTACACTAGCCTAGACCTAGACCGGACTGACTGGACCTACCGGTACCGTTGCTGTTTCGGCCTCTCGGCCTCTACCGTACCCGGCTATAGGCTATAGGACCGTATAGCAGTATAGGCCACTTAGGGCCTGTCTGTCCTAGGGGTAGACCCGGGCCTGCTATAGGCAGTTAGGGTAGCTGTAGGAACTCGGTTAGTACCAGGTCTGTATTTTCCAAAAATTACAGGTCTGTCCCTCACGAATTTCCACACAGGCGGATCTCTCGGTTAGCCCTCAGCCAAACAAAATTGCAAAACTAACCCTACCAGTTAGTGTACAGCCTCGCAGACAATCTCGGCAGCAGAAATCAGCAAGTCATTGCAGAATGCCCTGCTGAGTTTCCCGCTTGCTACTAAGTCTCTGTGTGCACGCTTGTTGGACTGCATGTCTGTCTGAGTGCTGGATGGCTTGAGTGTGTGTGTGACCATGCCTGTCTGAGTGTTGGTTGGCCTGGGTGTGTGTGTGGCCGTGCCTGTCTGAGTGCTGGTTGGCATGAGTATGTGTGTGGCCCGTCAGGGCACTTGCTCGTTCGTTGGGCCCTCAGGGCCGGTACTTACCTGTGGCCGTGACATTGAGGGGTTGCAGCGGGGAAAAACACTCAAGTAGCGGGTAGGCCGGTACCGCACCTGGAAGGGGTAGATGTGCAGGTACCGGAGGCCGAGCAGAAGAAGACGAAAGTGGCATTTTTAGAGGCCCAGTAGTTGTAGGTAGGTCTAGGCGGATATCAGTCCAACCAGTCTGCGTCTAGGGCCTGTAACGGGCAATATCAGAGCCTGCAATGATGTTTCCCTCCGAAAGGGAGGAGGTACTGGTTGCTTGGGAGGCCGAGCGGCCTGGAAGTCAGCGCCCAAGAGGCAAAGCAGGCCGCTATATCTTCTGGCCGGGCGGAGAGTCCGGCCTCTTTTTCGGTGTGCAAGTTTGGCGACACACTGGTGGAGCGCTGGCTGGAGCAGCGCTGCTGGGGAGGAAGGAGAAGGACACGAGGGAGGAAGRAGGAGGAAGAAGGAAGGAAGGGGGAGGAGCGCCAGAGGTACTTACCTGGCTATGGTGGCAGCCATCTTCATCACCTTGGTGGGCGCTGCAGCAGGGAGTCCTCAACTGGGGGGAGCTACACCAAGAAGCTTCGGGGCAGGGTCAGGCATGGCGGCCTGAGCTAGAGCAGCCATAGCTGCTTTGGGTTGTCCTTTGGGCATCTGAGCAGAGCCCAGTAGTCCACCATAGCCTCGGCCTATGAGAGTGAAGAGTGAGAGAGGCGGCCATGGCTATGGTGGACCTTAATTGATACCTGCAGTAGAAGAGGGACTCGGACATTGATTCTGGATCAGTCATTCAACATTGTATTATTATTTCTTGTATGAATAACAGAAGGGGGAGATAAGGAGGAGGAGATTGTTGGGCGAAGAAGAAGAGCCTTGTCATTGTCTTTGCTGGTGTGCATCTTCTTCTTCTTCTTTCTTACTTCTTCTTCTTTCTTATTTCTTCTTCTTCTAATAATCCTCTCTCTCTCTCCTCTCAAGTTCATTCATTTCTTTCTGCAATTGGATGGCATTGTACTTTCCGGTGGATGTGTATCTCGAAATTGGCCAGGGTCATAACATTATTCTGGATATGGTTGGTCTCGATTTTTGCCGTCTGCTGAAATAATGGTGTGATTTTGCGGTGGGCAACCATTCGGTGTGGATGGCTTGCATTCTTTGGATGGTCATTGGTCAACCATTCAACCAATCACTCACTGTGATGATTTCCGGAGATCCGTGATCAGATTAAGATTCAAAAGAGAGATTGTGTGCAATTGGTGACAGTAGGTGGGTGTCTACTGTACAGGGTTAGGAGACGGGGCATTTTTGGCATTGTTCATTGTTGAATTGATCACCATGCCAGGTGGGATTAGCCAGCGAGCTACAAGTATGTACTCGTCGTGAGCCATGTCGATCTCAGTGTTTCTGCAGACAATACAGTACTGTAGGCACGGATCCCAACCTATTTTGCATGACCGGCCAAGCGCACCGGCAAGCGTCGGGCTGTCAAATGCTTCCATGCAACTGAGGGTGACACTTTGGTTCTCCTCCCTTCCGAGCGCACCGCCCAGCCTCAAAGTTTTCGCAGCATTCTTATTGGCTCGCAGTGCATATGTGACGACAATGCTGCTCTTGCATTGGCCCGCGGCCAGTCCGTGATGTGTCGGCCTCACAGACCATGTGCCCAGGGCGCAACCGCCTGAGACCTGGGCTCAACTGTACAGCACTACCCTTGCTTCTGAAAAGAGTGTGGAGGCTCACGTTGCTCTGTAAAAAACTGGCGTGCTGCAACTGTCTAATTCCCTTCATATGGAAAATGGCGAAAATAGGCCTCACGGCGCTCACGTGGATATTCAGGCCCGCCTTCACTTAGGGCGCGGGGATGGGGTTGCTGGGGGCCGCAGCCCAGAACTCTTGCAAGTCTGATAAGGGGACCGTGAGGGCTCATTCCTCGCATAGCACGTGGAAATTTTCCTTCAGTGTTAGCTGGTCGGCACGGACTTTGGCTAAGTAAGATCAAGTGTAGTATCTTTTGATTTTTTTCTGATCAGTTTAATATCTGAACCGTGGTTCACCGGACAAACAAAAAAAGCAAAAAAAAAAAAAAGAGGAATCAGCACAGATAGTCCACAAGGGGAAACTCCAAGTATCATAAAATTTGATTTCTCTGATTTATTTATTTTTTTCCATTTTTCCTGGTCATCTGCATTCATCTGCACGCGTCTGGATTTGAACTTGGGTCTGTATTTCAACAGTTCGTGGGTGTACCGACTGAGCTAGGCCCGCTGGTTGATTTCTCCGATTCCTCATTGATGGATCCTTGCCGATTCGGTTAACATCGGACGGGGGTTCACACAACTTCACAGCCATATGCCAGCTTTAACATTTGCTGGCCTCACTCCATTCTGTCAGCTGTAGTTCCCCTCAAGGATGGAATCTGTGTGTTGGATATGTTTCTATAACTTTCTATGATATTTTCACACGTGTCATTTTTATGTGCATGCATAAACTGACTTTTTTACCACATGTTTTCTTGCAGCTTTGGTTGCGTCATTTAATCAAGAGGTAGGAATCACTGGGGCAATCTTGACGAAAATCGACGGAGACTCACGAGGTGGTGCTGCCCTAAGTGTGAAAGAGGTCAGTCCCATTACCCGTTGCTCGAAATTTCACGTGAAGCAAGTCCTGACAACTGTGGACTGTGCTAAGATCCACCCGCTTCCCTTTGGCCCATCTGCCTACCCGCGGTCTCCCTCCCACCCCTCTCTTCCTCTCCCAGTTTCTCCTGACTTAGTTACAATGCCCTTGCATTGTCGGACCGGACAATCTGTGAAACCAGAAAAGAACGCAGGCCGGAATTCTGGCCAACAATTCTAACCCCTGAGGATTAGAATGAATACCAGGGAAGTCGATGGTCGGTACATTGGGATTGTCGCTTCTTGTTGATTTACTGTCAAGTCCTTTGTATCTATGTGCCATCTGTGTGTGTCGCAGGAGGGTGGGGGGTGTATGGAGGAGGAAGGAGGAGAGGGGATTTGGGAAGAGTAAAAGATGTGTGTGTGTACGGGCCCACACACACACATATGAGTGAGTGAGTGAGCGAGAGAGAGAGAGAGAGAGAGAGAGAGAGACAGAGAGAGAGAGAGAGAGAGAGAGAGAGAGAGAGAGAGAGAGAGAGAGAGAGAGAGAGAGGAGGAGGAGGAGGAAGAGCAGGAAGGAGCGTTGCACGGAGGGGGAGAAAGAATACGTCGACGAGTTTTTCCAAGATAATTTTTCTTCTGGTCTACCAGTGGATGGTGAACTGGAGGGTCGCTGTCACAGTAGGAGAGTGTGGAAGAGTCGGGCTAGAGGACAAGAAAAAGATGTTAAAACGCAGAGGCTTAAAGGATCCCGTACCAGTTGTATTTGAATGGTGTTCTCTGAAAGTAATGTGTTATTGCAATGGCTATTTCACTGTGTGCATTCAGCTGTTCGATTCACTTTTGAGATTCTCCTCCATTTCAACGCGGTTGCATTCTTGGGCTGCCCAGGCGTGTAGAATCTGTAGATCATTCATCAGGTTGTTTGGAGTATTCAGTGTCGTCGAAAATGTGATTAAATATTAGGCATTCAGTCTAAGTGCTTTTCAATTCTATGTGGCTGCTGTGCAGGTGTCGGGTAAACCGATCAAGTTTGTTGGTGAAGGAGAGGGTATGGTTCCTCTGGAACCGTTCTACCCGGACCGTATGGCTTCCCGCATACTGGGGATGGGAGATGTGCTCACACTGGTTGAGAAGGCTCAGGAAGTGGTCAGTAAGTCTGCCTGGCACAGGCTGATCTTGAACTCCTGTTAGACTGCCCCGATGTTTTACCCTTGTCACACTTGTGGCTCTGAAGGCGCCGGATCCTGCCCATGTTGAATGTGGTGGTGTTTGTGACTGTGCTCCATGCCTCTCTCTCTCTCTCTCTCTCTCTCTCTCTCTCTCTCTCTCTCTCTCTCTCTCTCTCTCTCTCTCTCTGTGTGTGTGTGTGTGTGTTACATGCACAGATATGCAATGTACGTAATAACCAAGGATCTGCAATGTGATAAAAAGGACGGAATGGACAATGCGGTGCGAGTAGAATCTCAACAAGCAATGTGCATTCTCATACGTACAACATGGTGCTGAATAGCGCAGGGAAGACTTAGATACAAAGTCTGACCTGACCGGGACTGACCTCATTCACATAGTATCAAATAGCGAAGCAGAATGCTAGGATGCTAATAACTAGCCCAATCAATGTTTGAACGCATACCCAAACATACATCGTATCCATCACCAGGTGTGAAGGAGCCTGGCGCTGTACACAGGAAGAAAGCGCCAGGTCCAGACATACACAGACGAAGAGGAAGGAATCAGACGAAAGGAGGGAGAGAGATGGAAATGTCGTCAACACCAAGTCTTTGTCACCAGTCCCAAATAATCCCTCGTTGTCATGTCTGAAGTCCAAAATGTCAAGTCTGGATCCGATGTCACCAAGCTCTGTCTCTCTTCTCTCGAAGTCTGCAGATGCAGTGAAGTCAGATGATGAGAGGGGGAGGAGGAGATGGTGGACTGAGAAGAGGAAGAAGAAGAACTCTCCGTCACTGTTACGAGCCAGATACTGACCTGTGATGTTGGCGCTGTGCTGCAGGTACCTCGAAGACGAAGCTGGAGCAACGGCGCTGCAGGTAAGTTCCTCTGGCCTCCACCCAATCTCTCTCTCTCTCTCTAGTGCTATCCTAGCTATGGCGCCCAGCGCTGGAGACTACAGCTACCTACTGCGCCCAGCGCTGAAGACTACAAGCTAACGCTACTACTACTCTGCAGCGCTCCCTCCAGAGTGCTGCTCCCGAATCCTGAAGACTACAACTGCCTCCTGCTTACCCGTGAAGTGCATGGGAAGTCCCTATGTACTACCTCGGCCTGCCTCCTGACTGCTGAAGGGCGAGCCAGGCCGAGGAGGCAGCTCTTGCCAATGCCGAAGTGTGCCAGGGGCTGGCGTGCAGCAGCCTGCAAAGGCTGGCGTGGGGAACAGGCTAAGAATAGCCTGTTCCCGAAACCCTGGTTCGGTGCCTGAGTTTCAGGGCCGGTCGTTCTGATGAAAATAGCCCTTCGTTTCAGGCTAAAAAGGCTGTTGCCATTTTTAGTCTGAAACGACATAGGGGTTGTGGCCCTGGAATTCAGGCTTTCGGCCTGAACCGACATGGGGCCTGTAAGCCCTGGATTTCAGGCTTTCGGCCTGAAATTCAGGCTTTTGGACTGAAGGACGCAGGGCCTGGAAAATGGCCGGCGTGTGCAAGCCCAGCATGTAACACCCTCCCCTCCTTATGAAGTCAAGCCGGGGCGAGGGCGAAAATGACGATCTGAAGGTGGAACCTGGACGCGGGCGCGGCGCGGAATCGAAGAAACCGGCTTGCCTTGCATCTTGCGTTCGTAGCGTGCGAGAAGGTCTGGAGCTGTTGCTTGAAGTTCCGCACGGGCTAACCAACGGTCAGCTCGGTGTGTGCAGTATGCAAAGTGCACCAAATACTCAGTTGGCTTGTTGCCTTAGCGTCGCTGGGAGATGATGTCGCCGACCTCCTGAAAACCGTCCATAGAAGGTGGGTCTTGCGTACGTCTCCCGGGAAAATCGTCATGTTCCGCTGGTGTGTAAAGAGCCAACTTGGAGCAATGAAAGACTGGGTAGACAGGCACGTGGCCAGGCAGCTGAATCATGAAGGAAGGTCCTTCTGGTGCATCCCCAGCGGGTGCTATGATCGGCCAAGGCCCCATCCATTTCGGGAGGAGCTTGCGAGAGATGTCTTGTTCAAGGCTGAATTCCGCTGCGGAAACGCAGACGAGGTCACCGGCGCGGAATGGACAGGGAAGACGCTGGCGATTGGCCTGCTGGCTCATGCGCTGCTGCGTCTTAGCCATCTGGTTGCGTGCCTTGACAAGAAGCTCTTGCATCCGATGCAAGAAAAGAAGATGGTCGTCGCTCTCGGCCGTGCGTGGAGTAATAGTGACCAACGGTGAAGTGACCGGCGAGCCGTGCTCGAACTCGAAAGGCGATATCCCAATAGCCGAGTGAATGGAAGAGTTGTAGGCCAACTCGACGTCCGGCAGCCGCTCAACCCAGTCCTTCTGGTCGGGGCGGATGAGAGTGCGAAGGAGAACCTATGCGGTCTGATGCGCCCTCTCCGTCTGGCTATCGGTCTGAGGGTGGCGAGTTGAACTGGGCTTGAGAGATGAGCCCCATCGCTTGATGAGCGCCACAAAAAATCGGACATGAATCGAGTGTCGTGGTCGCAGATGATCTCCTTGGGGTAACCCTTGGTTCGAATCCAACCGGCGTAAAGAACCTCGACCAACTCTGGTGCCTTGGCGTGATAGCGACAAGGCAAAAACATGGCGAAGTTGGTGAGTCGGTCGACCACCGTGAGAATCCCATCCATTCCGGTCTTGTGCTTGGGGAACGGGCCGGTAATGTCCATGGCAATCGCTTCCCTTCGCCTCAACGGGACTGGCAATGGTTGTAACTCGCCGTACGAACGATGGTTGCGGGATTTGCAGCGTCGGCAAACCTCGCATGACTCGCAATAGCGCGTGACGTCGCCGAGAAGGCCAGGCCACCAAAATCGTTGGCGAAGTCGGCCAATCGTGCGATTGACTCCAAAGTGTCCGGTGGCGGGAGCATCGTGGAACTCGCCAAGAAGCCGTGTACGCAAGTGAGGATCACTCGGTACGCAAAGAAGGTCCTTCCGCCGCGTGTGGACAAGCAAGTACTCCTCTTGGATCCGGTAGTGAGAAGGAGCCAGATTAGGAGAGGAGCAATTCACGTACTTGTCGCGAAACTCGGGGTCGGCTTGGTAGCCGCGGATGAAGCTGTTCCGCAGGTCATCGTCGATCTCGAAGGTTGAGTAAACCACGGTACAATGATCCGGACGCCGTGAAAGAGCATCCGCAAAACGGTTCGACTTCCCGGGAATGTGATCGGGAAAGAAGTCGAACTGGTTGATGAAAGCCATCCATCGGGCGATGGTGCTGTTGACGGTGTCTTGGGTCTTGTAGAAGACCAACGAATTGTTGTCCGTTACCCAGCAAAATTGGCTTCGACCAAGGAGGAAATGCCGCCACCGCTTGAGCGCGTGGACGAAGGCGAGGAGCTCCTTCTTGCGTGCATCGTCAATGGAATGCACGATGGGCACTTTCTTGTTGAAGTACTCGACCGGGTGCCAGTCCACACCATCATGTTGCTCGAGGACTGCACCAATGCCGTAGCCTGACGCATCCGTAGTGACGCGCGTAGGCAAGAGCGGGTCGTATATCCGCAAGACCTCCGCAGACAATAGCGCGGCTTTGAGAGCGAAGAATGATCCCCGCGCCTCCTCTCCGAAGTCAAACGGCCGATCCTCGCATTGAAGCTTGTTTAAGTGGGCCTCGATCTTTGAGTGGCCTTTGATGAAGCGCTGATAGTAGCCGTCAAGACCGAGGAATGAGCGGACATTCGTGACGTTCCGAGGTTCCAGCCACTCTTGGATGGTCTGAATCTTGTCCGATAGCGGACTGATGCCCTCTGGTGTGACAAAATGGCCCAAGTATTCCAGCTCTTGCCGAACAAATTCACACTTGTCGTGGTTGGCTTCGTACTTGGCGCGGCGGAGCGTCTCCAACACTCGTCGAAGATGCCCAAGGTGATCCTCCAATGACCGGCTATAGACGAGAATATCGTCTATGTAGACCAGCACGAAACGGTCCAACATTGCACGGAATTCATTGGTCATTGCCGCTTGAAAGGTCGTCGGGGCATTGGTGAGGCCAAAAGGCATGACCACCCACTCAAAATGCCCGTACCGCATTTTGAACGCGGTCTTGTAGCGATCGATCGGCTGGATCGAGATTTGATGATATCCCGATTTCAAATCCAATTTAGAAAAATATTTTGCGCCGCCCAGTCGCTCAAGAAGATCGTCGATGCGGGGAAGAGGCCCCGCATTCTTGACGGTTTGCGCGTTGAGCTTGCGATAGTCGATACACAGTCGTAGATCCTTGTTCTTCTTCYTGACGAAGAGAACTGGTGCTCCATATGGGGAGCTACTAGGGCGGATCCAGCCCTTGGCCAATAAATCGTCGAGTTGTGCGCGGAGGACCTCAAGCTCCTCCTCGCTCATCTGATAGATGCAACCTTTCGGTGGCACGGCACCGGCCTCAAGAATGATCTTGTGAGAGATCGGCCGATCCGGCACCACAACGGTAGGTGACTCGAAGATGTCGGCGAACTCGTCCAGCAACCGTACCACACGGGGGTCCGAAGACAAGTCCGTGGGTGAAGAGTCGGTTACCGCGATTGTCCGTAGAAAACATAGGCCGATCTCCTCGGGCTGCTCGTAAGCGCATGTCGCCCGGAATGATTTGGTCGTCACCACTTGGCATCGGATCGAAGGGTGCGGTAGAGGAATAGTACATGCCACTTCCACGCCGAAGGCGTCGCGAACGGTAAGAGTCCGCCGATGGAAGTTGACCGTGTGATCCGCACTTGCAAGCCAAGGCATTCCCAGAATGATGTCGAATTCCTTGTCGAGAATATCGAATGTCACCGGTTCGCATGCATGAGGTGCGAAGCAGACCGTTATGGCCTCGATGTAACGGTCGACAAGTTGTTGCATCTTTCCATCCGCCAACTTGATCGCCATCGGGTTTGCCTTCCTCCGAACTTGTGCACCAAGGCCAGCCCTTTGCATAAAGGATTGGCTCATGAAATTGCGAGACGCACCGCTATCTAGCAAAGCGTTGCAGGACGCTTGCCCAACCTGAATGCAGACATACATGAGCGGTGCATTGTTGCCATCGTACCGCTGCGTGCGAAACTCGCGGGCCACCTTGGTAGTATACGCCAGGATGTCCCCCACCGCGACTTCGTCATCCGTCGGCGAAGTTGGTGGTGCATAGAAGGATAAGTAAGTGTGGAGATGAGCGCTAAGTGTTGCGCATTGCAGTCCCGGCAAGCGGCCTATGGTGAGGAGAGGAAGCCATGCAAAGTCCTCGGACGTGAGTGGGTCCAATGTCTCTATGTTGATTTCGCATGCCGAATCCCGTGAAGAACCACTTGAAGACGATATGTCACCGTTGCCGGACGGAGAAGAAACTGCACACACTTCTTGTCCTTGAGCTTGAGTACCCAGCGCAGGAACGAGCCGGGCAGCATAGTCCTCAAAAGAAAGTAGAAGAGGAGGACTATCGACTTCCGCGTGCGCCTCGGAATGAAGGCCGGTTACTCGCGAAGAAACCGGTTCCGAAGGCGTCGAGAGTGTCGTCGAGTCACTCTCGGCGGTGCTCAGTTTCCCTGTTTGCCCTTGCCTTTCAATGGGCAGCCCAGCGTCTGATGAAGGTCGCTGTTGCACCAAAGGCAATAGTGGAATCTCTCGCGCGCTTTGAATGCTTGCTCGGAGATGCCATATTGGGACCATGGGCCTGCCTGAGCTGCTGCACCGGGCCCGGGGCTAGATGCGGTGTGTGTCTTCGTCCTGCCGCGTCCTGAGCCTCTGCCGGGGCGGCCACCTTCCCGGGCGGCTGCGAGTCTGTCCCCTTCACTGGCAGACACAGCCTTGCTGGTTTGGTCAAACGGCGTTGCTGCTGCGACCACGACCACTCTTGGCCGATGCTGGTCCCAGCTCGGGCCTGATGCAGACGAACGGAGGTTCTTGGCCTCCTTGTTCGTGATGATGATCTGCGCGGCCTTGTCAAACAATTACGTCGTCGTCGTCAAGGTGTCCTCGACATGAGTCAGGGCATTACTTAATGTCGGACATGACCTTGAGATGAAGTAATGGCGGATGGCTTTGAAGCCCATCTGGATGTCTGGGACTGACGTCAAGCGTTGGTACTCGGCGATCCAGTCGGTACTCGGCAACGTGTCTTGCTCGAAGACCATGAGCTTGTCCATGGCTTTGATCTCCGGCGGCTCCACCTGGAACCGCTTGTGCCACGCCGCCTTCAAATCATCCCAACTGATCTTGGTGTGCAAGTCGGCAGCTATCACTCCGTACTTGGACAAGAGGTTGTCCAACCAAGCCTGGCACGCGCCCCCTAAGCGAGAGTACAAGTATGCGTGGTGCTTGTGTTCTTTGACATTGTGCAGCTGCAACGTGAGCTGGAACTTGCGGAACCATGGAATCGGATCTATCTTCATTGAGTCGCAGAAGATCTCCTGCCCGTCGAACTTTGGAGCTGTCTCGCGCGGTTCCGAACTCGAGGTGTTGGCGGTAGTGCAGATCCGCTGTTGCAACTGTTGCGTCGCGGTCTGCTGTAATTGCACGCCATCCTTGAGTGAGCCGACGTCCATCTCCAATGCGTTGAGGCGGTCAGAGGTATTGGAAGAGCTTGCATCGGCGGCGGCGACTGGTCGCTGCTCCAACCGCTGAAGGCGGTCTTGGACGTGAGTTAGCGAGTTGTCGAGACCGTGGATCTCCTCCTGGAGGAGGAGCGCTATCTTGTTTGTGCTATCCTCCAACTTGCCATTCTCGGCCTCGGTCCGCCATTCCGCTGCCATTGTGAGTAAAGCCTGCTCTCCGGTAAATATCTTCTCACGACGTTGGTGTCTTTCTTCATCGGCAGCCCTTGCTGCTGCCTCGTCATGCTGGCGTTGTGCTTCAATCGCCAGCAGATGTGCCTGCTCGCTGCTGCTGCAGCGTCATCTGCCCGTTTCTTTGTTTCGGTACTCCAGGCCATGCGGGCCTGATAAGCCCCGTCTGCGTCTCCGGGCCTCTGGTCCATGACTGCTGTATGTGACCGCAACAGCATAGACCAGGCCGGGGCCTGCTAATGTGGTATCCCTTGCTGCTGACGTGGCACTGCTGATGTGTCCTGCTGACGTGGCCTGCTGATGTAGCCTGCTGACATGGCCTGCTGACATGGCCTGCTGACGTAGTCTGCTGACGTGGCCTGTTGACGTGGCAACTCACTAATGTCGCCGCAGGGGGTACCCGGAGACAAGCAGAGAAGGTAAGGCAAGAGATGGCAACAACATAGGTGGGGAGGGGTGGGTGGGCTAATCGCCCAACTAACACTCAGATAAGGAGCCCCTAATCAAAAAAGAAAAGTTTGAACTTTGCAAAAAAAATTTGAGAAAAATAAAAATGCCGATTTTTGCAAGTTCAGTAGGTCTCCCAAGCTCCCTTGAAGTACGAAATGGTCACCGAAAGAGAAACAAATTTCGACTTACTGCAAATGATTTATAGAACTGACCGACAGAATCCTAGAACTGCGAAAAAAATTCCGAAAAGAAATGACAAGTATTCGGGATTTATTCAGAGAATATTCGCAGTTTGGAAAATAATACCGCAGGAGGGATTTCCCGTACCGTTTTCAGAAAAGCGAATTTCGGAAAAGAAGATATCCCGAATTTCTAAGTAACGGGAAATGCAACAAGAAATCTAAATTTTCGAAAAGAAAAATATTCCGGATTTTCAACAACGAAATTTCGAATTTTCAGAAGAAAAACGAAAATGGGAATTTCAGATGTTGCGATATTGCGATTTTCCACAACAGAATAGCTAGAAAACAAAATCCAAGGAAAGAAAAAAAAAAATCGATTTTCGGTAGTAAGGTCAAAATCGTGATTTTGGGGTCTAACTAATGTGCTCTAATCAATCAATAAAGACTAACCAGCTATTTAGTCCCCGCACACGTGTCAGATCAGGTTGTCCTGATTCACGTGCGATGCTCCGATACCAACTGTTACATGCACATAATAACCGAGGATCTGCAATGTGATAAAAAGGACTGAATGGACAATGCGGTGCGAGTAGAATCTCAACAAGCAATGTGCATTCTCATACATACAACATGGTGCTGAATAGCGCAGGGAAGACTTAGATACAAAGTCTGACCTGACCGGGACTGACCTCATTCACATAGTATCAAATAGCGAAGCAGAATGCTAGGATGCTAATAACTAGCCCAATCAATGTTTGAACGCATACCCAAACATACATCGTATCCATCACCAGGTGTGAAGGAGCCTGGCGCTGTACACAGGAAGAAAGCGCCAGGTCCAGACATACACAGACGAAGAGGAAGGAATCAGACGAAAGGAGGGAGAGAGATGGGAATGTCGTCAACACCAAGTCTTTGTCACCAGTCCCAAATAATCCCTCGTTGTCATGTCTGAAGTCCAAAATGTCAAGTCTGGATCCGATGTCACCAAGCTCTGTCTCTCTTCTCTCGAAGTCTGCAGATGCAGTGAAGTCAGATGATGAGAGGGGGAGGAGGAGATGGTGGACTGAGAAGAGGAAGAAGAAGAACTCTCCGTCACTGTTACGAGCCAGATACTGACCTGTGATGTTGGCGCTGTGCTGCAGGTACCTCGAAGACGAAGCTGGAGCAACGGCGCTGCAGGTAAGTTCCTCTGGCCTCCACCCAATCTCTCTCTCTCTCTCTAGTGCTATCCTAGCTATGGCGCCCAGCGCTGGAGACTACAGCTACCTACTGCGCCCAGCGCTGAAGACTACAAGCTAACGCTACTACTACTCTGCAGCGCTCCCTCCAGAGTGCTGCTCCCGAATCCTGAAGACTACAACTGCCTCCTGCTTACCCGTGAAGTGCATGGGAAGTCCCTATGTACTACCTCGGCCTGCCTCCTGACTGCTGAAGGGCGAGCCAGGCCGAGGAGGCAGCTCTTGCCAATGCCGAAGTGTGCCAGGGGCTGGCGTGCAGCAGCCTGC